TAAGTCTATGGCACAGTCGACAGAACGGTGAGTGGGGAGCTGGGATGCTTTCTTCTTACTGAACGCCTCGGTGAAATCAGAGTACTCTGGGGGCAGGTTCAGATTGTGTGGGCTCTGAACAGGCGGGGAAGGTGCATGACTGGACGCTCGGGGAATCTTTGAGAGACAATGATCATGGCATGTAACGTCCCACTGAAGAATTTCTCCCTCTCTCTAAGAGACGCGTGGATTATGTGTGCGCAGCCAGGGTAATCCGAGAATAATAGAGTGATTGGGCGAGTGAATGACATAGAATCGGATGCATTCCGAGTGCAGGGTTCCTATTTGCAATTTGACTTCTTCCGTGATGCGTAGCACCTTTCCCTCTCCGAGAGGGTGGCCATCTAGCGCCTCCACTGCCATGGGAGAGTTACAGGGGGTTAGTTTCAGTTTATGTTGTGCAGCGAATTCACATGACACAAAGTTCCCGGCTGCTCCGGAATCCAACAGAGCAGTAGTGGTAATTATCTTGTCTTGACTAAATATTTTGGCCGGTAATTTAATGCTTGATGCAGAAGTTGCACTATGGGTATTGACACTCACCGATCGAGAACTGGAAGACGGACGGACCGGGCAGGAGATCTTCATGTGTCCAGCCTGACCGCAATAGAGGCAAAGTTGGTTCTGCATGCGGCGTTCGCGTTCCTCGGAAGTGAGGTGAGTGAATCCTAACTGCATGGGTTCGGCTGCGGTCGTGGTTTCAGGCTGGTAACGGGGCATGGCTCGAGTGGAGCGTCGAGAGCGGATCAGATTGTCTATCTGGATAGCGAGTTCAATGAACTCCCTCAAACTCTTTCCCTCATCCCGGCAGGCCAGCTCTGATTGAAGCTCTAAATTCAATCCCCTCCGAAACAAGAGCTTTAGCGTGTCCTCGACCCATGTAGTCTGAGCCGCGAGGGTTCGAAAGGACAGAGCGTACTCGGCAGCTGTCTTTCTCCCCTGCGAGAGAGTTAACTGTTGATCTCCTGCACTCATCCCCTCGGCCGGATG